CCCCTGTCATGCACAGAGCAGGGTGGATTGGGAGGTTGCGATGCCACCTCTACAGTCACGCTCAGGGTAGGGCCGATTGGGGGGTTGAGGCACCGCCCCCTGTCACACTCAAGGCAGGGTCAATGGAGAGGTTGCGGCGCCACCCCCTGTCACGCAGAGAGCAAGGCCCATCAGGGGGGTTGGGGCTCCGTACCCTGTCACACACAGAGCAGGGCCTGTGGGGGGGTGGGGGAGGGTTTGGGCACCACACCCTGTCACACACAGCGTAGAGCGATCAGGAGGTTTGGGCGCTGCCCCCTGTCACGCTGATCCGGTGCCAGGAGGCCTTGTGGCTCCGCTGATCCCGGTGATGGGAGGCATCTTACCCTTTTACTATATAGGATAGAGGCCTGGGGGCTGGCTGGTTTGCCCTGAAGTGTGTCCTGGATCAGGGTGGGGGTCCCCACTGGGGTGCCTGGCCACTCTGGGTGAGGGGCTGAGGGCTGCTTTCAGGCTGGCGATTGACTGAAGCTCCCAACCACTCCTTTTTTTCTTTTTTCTTTTTTTTAATTCTGGGCCAGCTTTAGCTCTGGCTCTAGCTCTGAGGTTTCCGCTGCTGAAAGCTGGTATCTGGTTTGTTTGTGTTCTATAATCGAAACAATGTATAATTCCAGCTCTGAGATCCCGGCAGCTGAAAGCTGGTTTCTGGGGTTTTGTTTAGCTTCTATATTTGTCACAATGTTTCAAACTACCAGGTCAGAGGCCGGCAGCGGCAGGCGGGGAACGTTGGAGTCTGCCAGTCACTGGAGCAAGCAAGCCTCCTTGTTCGCTTCAGTGCATGGCTGCCGGCCGCCATCTTGGTTGTCAGTTAATTTGCATATACTCACTGATTAGCCAATGAAAAGGGTAGCGGTCATACGCTAATTACCATGTTTCTCTTTTATTAGTGTAGATGTCACACAGGTGATGCTTTTATAAATAGTATTCCCATCTTAGTGATGAGGAAATGGAAACTCCAAAAAAGGAAGTGACTTTCCCTTGTCCACCTGGACAGTCATGGCCAAGGCCGGCCTGAATACCTGGCCCTCTGACTCCCAGACAGGCCTCTCTCCAGCACTGACTCTCTCCTGCCCCTGACGCCCATGCACATCTCTCAGCTGTCCTTGTCCTCTCTCCCAGCTCTCCAGCCTCACCCACATGCACACCTAGAGGCCAGCACTGGGCACACACAGTGCAGAGATTAGCACAGCGCTGCCCTCAGATGGCCCACCCTCTCCTCTTCTTTCCCACATCCACACCCGGCACAGACCTCCCTGTCAATGCCACATGCCCTGCTGTTATGCAGGGTCCACAGTGAGATCAGAGTGAGCTTCTTCCTTGTTTCCAGCTCTCAGAGGCTGCACGATGCCAAAGCTTTCCAGTCCCACCCAGTAACTAGGAAACGGATTCAGCCACGCACATGAAATAGAAAGAGCAAGTCTCAGCTCTAGTGTGAGATCAGATAAGGGTGACCCCCAACTCTACATGTGATGGTCACATGATGTTGAGCCTCTTACTTAACCTCTCTGAGCCCAGTGTTCTCACCTGTAACTAGACAGGCAGATCTACCTCCCAGAGCTCACTATGGAGCTGGGGTCTAACCTTAGTCCTTCCTGGTGCTCTGAGGCCCTATATGGGAGGCCTGGGCTCTGGATGGAGCACAAAGGTCTCAGAGCCATGGAGCTTTGGTCGGTGCCCCCAGAAACCCAACCTGACTGTGCTCTCCTCCTAGTGGAGCTCTTCCTCCATGGCCAAAGTGTTGGCCAGAAGGTCTTCAAGACAGCAAGCTTTTTAAAGCCTTTCCAGGAGGCACAGCAAGTGTGCGCACAGGCCGGGGGGCAGCTGCCCTCCCCACGAAATGCAGCTGAGAACGAGGCCTTGCAACAGCTGGTCGAGTTTGAGAACAAGGGTGCTGCGTTCCTGAGCATGACTGACTCCCAGACGGAGGGCAGGTTCACCTACCCAGGAGGGGAGCCCCTGGTCTATTCCAACTGGAACCCTGGGGAGCCCAACAACAGTGGCGGCAATGAGCACTGTGTGGAGATGTACACCAACGGCAAGTGGAACGACAGGCCCTGTGGGGAGAAGCGCCTTGTGATCTGCGAGTTCTGTGCCCTTGGGGTGGGTGAGGCAGCCGAGGTCCAGGATCTTGTCCTGGATCTGTGTGCTACCAACATGACAAGGAAGAGCTGAGGGCTCTATGGCCTGGATTCTGCACAGACACCTGGGATGAGGCCAGCCAAGGGCTCCCATGGAACTCCTCTCTCAGAATAAAATATGACTCTGGCTTCACTGGTGTGCTGTCAGAGGAAGAAGGGGCCAGCCTGCTTTCCCAGTTGCAAGGGATAAAATTAGGCCCCAAAATCCAAAGGCTCCTCCTCAGCCCTCTGCCTCCTCAAACTGTCAACCCAGCAAGTCACTCCCTCCTCTGTCACTCCCTCCTCTTGCTTTGGTGTCGCCTTATGCCAGTTCCTTATCTTCCTCTTTTGCTAGTCCCTCCTCGTCTTCTTGACCACTTAATGGTGACATGCTCAAGCCTTAGCTCGCTATTCTCTCCCCTCCTCACCCTCAATCCAGGGATGAGCTTATTCTATCCAGGGCTCAGATCCCTGGTACCCACATTACATGCCTGCTCAGGACCTCCCGAAACCCAGGACCCCTTGGCCAATGCCAGCTGCAGTCCCAGGGCTGGGCAGTTCCTGTGGCTGCTCCTTGTTTCAAGGCCTGAGCCCCAGAAGATGCACAGAACCTTGAGCTGACCTGGCAGGTCATTTGCCTCCCTGGCAGGACTGTGTGGCCCAGTTGAGTAGCCTCCTCCGCATCCCTGCACACCAGGACCTCATTCTACCCTGTCATTGTGACTGCCTGTCGGCTCATGGGAGGGAGTCCCACCTGCACAATCCCCATTCCAACTGAGACCTCAGGCACAGAGGGTCAGGCCACACTCAGGTTCACCCCCAGCCCTCCCCTGGCCTCATTCCAGGAGGTTCTTCCCCCAGGCTGCCTCAGAGACAGCTGGCCAGTTCCTCCTCCTCCTCCCACAGAGAGGGGAGGAGACTTGCTCAAGGCCCCAGGTGTGTCAGTGCTACAACTTGGTCTAGTGAAAGGTCATCTGATCCGAAACCTTATATTTCTGGCCTGTCAACTTTTAGACCAAAGGCCTCTGTATACCAGTTGATTTTAATGACATTTGTGCTTAAGGAATTGGAAGGACACCTGGATGAAGCCCAGGCTCATAGGAGAGGCAACAAGACAGGAAACCAGGCCTCCTTTGTTCCCAGGGACCGGAGGCCACACCCCTCTTCCCAACACTCACAGCCACACCTCAGATGTAGGACAGCAGGTCTGAAAGCAAAAGCCACATCTAATCACCATGGTGTCAGATGGGTAGGAGCTTGATCAGGATGATCACTTAGTAAGTTATGTAATGACTAATCACGTGGATGTACACCTGAAGTTAATATAACACAGTATGTCGCCTATAATTTAAAAATGAACAATCATTTAAATAAATAAAGTGATTATTGATAGGTTAAAAAGAAAAGAGGAAAACAAAAACGACACCTCCCAACAGCACACAGCTCAGCCTCTCCGCTGAGACCTTTTTCCTGTTACTGAAAAGAAAGCCCCAAGTCCTGGCAGCTTCTGAAATATGTCAGTTATGCAACAGGGAGCAAATAGTCTTCAATTCAGGAGTCAGACCTGGACACCATCCACCAGGGAGCTTAGAAAGGTATTTCATTGCAAATAGAAAGGAAAAAGCAGTGGATATGGTTTAAGCCCAGGGAGGCATTTTTTCTAAGAATGAAGAGTTCTGAGGTGGCTCAAGGACTGCGGGTGCACAAGCAGCGCTGTGCGGTCTCCCTGCTTCTGCCTCTGTGCATCCTGGCCTCTCTTCCTCCCTCTCCCACCACCTTCTTCTGCTTCAGGCTCTCAGCTGCCCAAGCACAGAGTCATGTGTCACACAGAGATCAGAAACTCTTGCTGGATATCAGGTCAAAATTCCTGTGGAAGTGAATCTGCCTGTCTCAGATGCCCACCTTTGTCCCAATAGACTAGGCCTGAGGTGGACACCACAGCATAGTATGGCCATTGGGACCCATGGAAGGTCATGGTGGTCTGGCAGTCCTTCTAAAAGTGACCACTTCCCATCCTAGCACATAAGGTAACCTATTTCTTTGACAAAAGTGGAAGAAAATGTCATAACTGACTCAATAGGGAGAAAAGATGTGTCCTGTGGGGTTGAAGGCCAGGAATGTGGAGACCCCTGGCCTGGGAGAAGCTTTAGATCCACCTCAGCACGGGGTCCGGTTCGCTCTCCAGCACAGAGAACAAGTAAGGAGGGTCATTTGGATTCTGTAGACACAGCCCGAGGAAAGCCATGGACTAAGGCAAGTATTTCAAAAATTCAGGTTTTAACCCTTTCTTAGCACAGAGACCTCTCCTACACTCACATTCATGGGCAGAGGTGAACACGGGCCTTAAACAGTATTAGCCCAGCCCCACCCATAGTAGCCTTGGTCCCTAGCATAGTAGCCTGGGTGCCAAGTGAAGCCAGGACTGTGTGACTGTGACCTCTCAGGAGATGCTATGACCCTCACAGTGACAGGTGACATCTTGGGAGCAGCCTGGGGTCCTTCCACGTGAGAGGGTGACAACCACAGCAGCTCCATGGGGAAGCCCCTGCTCAGTTCCATAGTATATTCTCAGATCACCTCCTGGTTCTCAACCGTCCTGCTCCTCAACCAACCCACTTCCCAGCATGAACTGACAGTGGGGCGCACTCTGGTGTTTGCTGGTGTTAGGATATTCTATCTTTGTCCTGAATTTCCTCGGTATAAAACACCGAGAACTGAGTTGCTTAAGTTCAGGGCATTCTCAATCACTCTTGTCTTCGGATATCCTTAATTCAAGCTTAATGGTGTGCTTGACCTTTTCAAGCTACCAGTGTTTATATACTAGAGCCAAGAACCCAGGTATCTACTAAAGGGGACAAACTATTTATAAGCTAAATATTTATCAAGATGGATCTTTCTGGACCTTGAGTGCGATATGGAGGTAGTCACTGCAGCATATGTAGCCCATCTTTATTGCATAAAATTTGAATATTAACCTACTTGACTTTCAGTTACCTAAGCAATATAGTCTCTCTCAGGCTGCCTGACTCAAACAACCTTGAGCCACAGAAGGACTCACGAAGGCCCTCCTACCTGACTAAACGGCACTTTTCATATTTGTTCAGTAAGAAGACAGTGAAAAAATGAAAGAGTTGAGTGAATGAAATCCTGAATTCCTATTTGTAAGCCTGTTTGTACGGTTGAATAAAGTGTTTACAAGACATTTCCAGGCCCACTGACCTGAGGAAATAGCACTGTGACCCCACTGCCAGCCTCTCTGCACTTTTATTAATTCCCTGAATGCTTCATTTCACATGTAAGTGGCTGGGGTCAGGCCAAGGTCAAAGGTCAGATGACAACTTCAGGCCAAGGGAATGCTTTCTGTGATCAGAGTGCGGCATTGTGGCAGGAAAGGGAGGGTACAAGTGCTGCTGGGTTTTGAGCAATCCCAGGACAACTGACCCTGGCCACAGAGGCCTGAGAGGATAGGAAGAGGATGAGAGGGATGTCAGTTTTCTAAAGACTCAGTTCCAAAAAGGACTGAGGCTGGAGGACCTCATCAGGAGGTCTTATGATGGAATAAACAACCTAGAACAGTCAGAAAAATTACTTAAAAAACAATGAGAATGGAGTTGGTCCTCTTATGTTAAAAGGTTTTATAAAACTAACAAAATTGTAATAGTGTGTTACTAACACAGAAATAGATGAACCAAATGTAAAGGTCACCAAAACCGGACCCAAGTATGTCTATACATATATGTCATATATGCATGATAAAAATAGATTACCAAGATTATAGAAAATAATGAATGGTTCAATTAATAATTCTCATTTAAATGGTTAAGCATTTAGAAGAAAAATAAAATCATATTTTTTACTTACATATAAAATTCAAAATCAGAATTAAAATATAAAACTTCTCTGCCAAAAATAAAGCAACATAAGATTAAAATTGAAATGCTTATTTATCTGCAAAGTATATAACATAAATCAACAAGAAAATGATGACTATTGAAGTAGGAATGAGAAGAGAAATATCTAAGAATGAGAAGAGAAAATTCATGAAATAAGATATACTGATGGCCAATAGTAATGAAACATGAAAAAATGTAAAATCTTAGTAGTATTTAAAGAAACTCAAATTAAACAGCAATTATTTTCAAAAATTTATGGACTAGAGTTCAAACTATACTAGAGGAAAATGTACTTTACATTCATTATTAAAAATGACAAAATAAAAGCATGGACATTGAGTGTGGTGTTAAGCCATCTCTGAAGCATCTATCCATCCTCCATCTCAGACCGTGGGTGCTTCCGCCTCTGGACTCCTCAGAACCCTTCCACATGGTGCATCCTAAATGCACCCACTTTTCCTGGTCCCTGCCCTTGGGATGCTTGGGAACCTGACCTCATGTAAGGGTAGAGGCTCACCAGGAACTGCAGACAGAGCACAAGAAAGGGTCCTCAAAGGAGGTCAAAGTTTACTCTCCAAAGGATGTACTTGCTGGGTAAAGGGTCACACAGGCAACTCTCCTATGGACTCTGATAGTGCTTTTGTGGTCCCAATGCCACAGCTTGTTAAGTGAACAAGAAGCTGAACTTGGCAGAAGCACCAGGCATAGCTGGGCAGTGGGTTCTTTTCCACACACCATCTCAGATCCGTTGGTAGTCACTGCAGGGTTAAAATGGCCCCGGGATCTCATCCCGGCTGAGTATATGGCAGTTGAGTAGCCATGTCTGCTGCTGATATGGAGGAGGAGAGGGGCAACACATGTGCTAGTGTTTGCTGTTCTTGGTGTAAGAGGACAAGGCTCCACAGGACCTGAGAGAACCCAACCAGGGGAGCCACTGAGCTGCATCCCTGAGCAAGTGAAGACACCGCTGGGTCTCCTGCAATAATTCCGGTGCTTCCATCAGCTGGGCTTCCAAGAAGCCCAAGGATACTTACAACACAGAGTAACATCTAGTGGGACGACAATGTCATCGCCACTGGAGACCTGCAGGAGATCCCCACCATCTCTATGTGGGCTGAGGTCTCCTAGGTGTCCTCATGGGTCCCAGGACAGTCTCTCAAGT